GGCACATTCAGTTGTTCCATTACTTCACTATATGTCAACTTCTGGCACATTCAGTTGTTCTATTACTTCACTATATGTCAACTTCTGGCACATTCAGCTGTTCCATTACTTCACTATATGTCAACTTCTGGCACATTCAGTTGTTCCATTACTTCACTATATGTCAACTTCTGGCACATTCAGTTGTTCCATTACTTCACAATATGTCAACTTCTGGCACATTCAGTTGTTCCATTACTTCACTATATGTCAACTTCTGGCACATTCAGTTGTTCCATTACTTCACTATATGTCAACTTCTGGCACATTCAGTTGTTCCATTACTTCACTATATGTCAACTTCTGGCACATTCAGTTGTTCCATTACTTCACTATATGTCAACTTCTAGCACATTCAGTTGTTCCATTACTTCACTATATGTCAAGCATTACTTTATCTCTTTCTGTTCTTCTCTACGTTCACCGGATGTGAACTCTAGTGGAACATTCTGGTTGTTCATCCACTTATGGACTTCAGTCTTGTTCCAGAACCTGAGTTTTGTGTGCAAATCCAGTTTACAGATCTGGCTTACTTGTATGCAGACTGTTGGTTCCTTACCTCTTAGGCAGATGCAAAAATTAGTCACCTCCTATAGCATACTTATTAGATGGCGGTGGGTCTATGCTTTGTTCTCCAAAATAGAGCTCCCAGAAACCATACAGGATCTTTCTGTTCCATGATGGAATTCTTCTTCTAAATTGTATTCCCCACTGTAGCATTCAAACAACCACCACCAAGCTGTGCCGTCCAACGCTAATTATTTGTTCTACAGCTGTTTAAGTTTTCCACACATTGTATTTTTTCGTGTAAAAGATTATGTTTTTCCCCAATTTTGTTTTTAAATTTAACAACCAATGTCTTCTTACACATGAAATGCATTTAAAATATTTTTCTTAAATTTGGGCTGAAAAATAGGGATTGTCTTACACATGGGGGTGGGGAGGTTGTTTTATAGGCGCTAAAATACAGTACCTCTTTCTCTATCCTCCTCTGTTCCTCTCGCCTTAACACATCAAATGGATATACAACTGTACGAATTCAATGCTAACATCATTTACAATTAAAATACTGTGATTTTACTAAAGCCATGACCACAAATGTCACAGATATAAATCACATAGAAATGTAATTAACCACATGGCCAAATAACATCTGAGCTGCAAACTATAAACTATCTTACAACATGAAATACTATATCAATATTACATACATTGACTTCAATCACATGTTAAATATATTCCACATACAGCAAAAATATGACTAATTTCACAAACTGCACATACCATATTTATGCATACTTCACAATTAGCACACTGAAAGAGACGTTAGATGTACATTTTTACTTCTTCTTAGAGAGACTGAGATTTTATTGTTATGTACTGACTGTTATGACATTGATTCTAGCTGATCAATCAATCAACTTTGTTCTAACTTAAGTTGTACATGAAAGTTCATATTCGGACGCTCGAAGTATGAAATATGCAAGAATAACTACAGGTAAAACAAAAATGGAAGACCATTAGAAACTGAAACATACCGATATATGAACAAGATGATACATATGCATGAACAGATATTACACTGGTTTCTTGGCTGCATAAGCTCCATGCTAGAGATGGAGCATAACTCACAGTAATAATGATGATGAATAAGGTGAAGATGCCTCAAGAAACATCTGTATCTGATTCTATTGCCAGATGGCTATGATACATATAATATCTTTCTTCCATTCCATTAACAAAAAACTACAATGAAATTTACTGGAATTAAAGGTAGATTGCTGAAACAATATAAAACAGATCACTCCCTAGTGGACAGCGGACTAGATTTGATGCAGACAGTGTACCCACCCCATACAGTGTGTACTCCTTGAGTAGGGTGCTTAGAAATGAGACAGCTGATAAATTGGTTGGGGAGGTGAAACAAACAGCAACTGAATGTCCAATCACATACCATCATCAGCAGGTCCTTTACAGAATGTTCTTATCACAGCATGTGAAAATATTTTTTCTGTAGCCCTGGCTTCATTGCCTCTTTAAACCCCACAGCGATTCCACACACAAAGGTGCTTTTGTAACCAATGCATCCTCAATATCCTATCTCTGCCTTCACGGACGTCTGCCCCTGCCCTGTTTTCCAGAAACAGCAGCCTTCATCACTGCTCTCTCCAGGTCACCATGACATTTATCATGGCCAAAATCACTCAAGATTCGGGACAGGATGCAGTTTATGAGCCAATTTTCCTTGATGCTCAGATCATTAATAAAAACAATAATAAAAAAAACCCTATTATGGGCAGAATAGAACAAACCATTATCCTGTGCCTCAAGAGGGCACAATCGATTAAACAGACAGATTTATACAAAATTTTCTCTCAGAATATCAGCCATGTGCACAAGTGGATTAGTGCACAAGTGGATTAGTGCACAAGTGGATTAGTGCACAAGTGGATCAGTGCTCCAGACAGCAGAACACAACACTCTGAGCTTTCCTAAGGCTATCAATTCCCTTAGGCATGTGTTTTCAAATGCATTCAACTTTCATTCTATGTCTTCAGTGGTTCTCGACCTTTCAGTGGCATTTGAAAAGCAAACAGGAGAAAAAATACACACAACAGGCCGGATTATTTTTGGTCACCCTTCTTCATCTTCAGTGATCATTCCTCAGTCAGATTAGGATTCTCCAGATGTCAGAGCTGGGACTTTGTGCTTCTGTCAGAACACTGGAAACAATTCTATAGCAAATGTTCAACTGTCATCCCTTGTTTATTTGGTCGCTGCTCTTCTAATCCAAGACGTGAAAGGCAAATTACATGTAGCACTGCATGTGTGGTAGGTGAAGTAAAGGGTCGTTCCCTGTAGTGTTTATATGGCACCTGCCTTTACCTTTAATTTTGTAATCTACCTTTGACACCTTGAGTTAGAAAAGCAGCGACCAAATAAATAAGAAATGGAAGCTGCAGAGGCAAAACAGCTTGGAATAGTTATGGCCAATATGCTTTCAAGTTAGCAATAATTAATTCAATACAGGTAGCTGAGCAAATTATAGCATATTACATGTAAACATTTTAACCATTGATTACAAACATTATCTGGTTTTAACAAATCAAATATACCCCCCCTCCCCCCTGCTATCAAACTCTCTCAAACATAACTCCTGTACAGCTAACAAACTCTCCCAAACATAAACATATTATGTAAACATATGTTGACAAAAAATATATGCATGTTGGGTTAAAGAGATGTGTGTGTGTATATATATATATATATATATATATATTATATATATATATACTATATATATATATATATATATATATATATATATATAATATATATATATATATATATATATATATATATTGGGGTTCAGGTATTGTGTATATGTGTTGTGTGGACAAAATGTTGTGTATAGAAATCATCTTAACCCTACCAGACCGCTGGCCCACTTTTCCGGGAATTTACGTAGTACGTGACAAATATGCGCCACAGACTAAAAATAACCAGCCAATCGCCATCAGACTTCGTTGTTAGTCCACGTGTGTTGAGATTTCTTTGTGTGGTTTGATGTGAAAAAATTCAGAAAATTCTCAATGAAACCAGCAGCTTCGACAAGAAAGTGGCGTAGGTCTAGGCTTATCACAGTCCAACAGTTGATTGATACTTTGGTTAATTCAGACTGTGAATACGTTCATAAAGAATATGTTCCCAGTTGAAGTGACACAGTCAGTGAGAGCTAGAGTGAGGAGAAGAATTATGAAAATTATAGATTTAAAACTAGATCGATAGTAAGAGAAGGGGGCGTGTCCCTCAAACAGCAACATCTGGTGCTTACTTTGAGAAACAAGACTGATCCTACTAAGTGGATTGGCAAACAAAGGTCAAAGTTTGGCGCTAGATGAAAGGTCAACATATTTTCTACAATGTCTCCAAGTTTTATCTTATTCTAACCATATGTTTGCATGTAACTAATTTTTTTGTACATATGTTGGTTTTTTTGCGTGTTAGTGCCCGGGAGCTCAGGTTATAGGGACAGTTAGGTTCAGGGCCTCAGGTTATAGGGACAGTTAGGTTCAGGGCCTCAGGTTATAGGGACAGTTAGGTTCAGGGCCTCAGGTTATAGGGACAGTTAGGTTCAGGGCCTCAGGTTATAGGGACAGTTAGGTTCAGGGCCTCAGGTTATAGGGACAGTTAGGTTCAGGGCCTCAGGTTATAGGGACAGTTAGGTTCAGGGCCTCAGGTTATAGGGACAGTTAGGTTCAGGGCCTCAGGTTATAGGGACAGTTAGGTTCAGGGCCTCAGGTTATAGGGACAGTTAGGTTCAGGGCCTCAGGTTATAGGGACAGTTAGGTTCAGGGCCTCAGGTTATAGGGGACAGTTAGGTTCAGGGCCTCAGGTTATAGGGACAGTTAGGTTCAGGGCCTCAGGTTATAGGGGACAGTTAGGTTCAGGGCCTCAGGTTATAGGGACAGTTAGGTTCAGGGCCTCAGGTTATAGGGACAGTTAGGTTCAGGGCCTCAGGTTATAGGGACAGTTAGGTTCAGGGCCTCAGGTTATAGGGACAGTTAGGTTCAGGGCCTCAGGTTATAGGGGACAGTTAGGTTCAGGGCCTCAGGTTATAGGGACAGTTAGGTTCAGGGCCTCAGGTTATAGGGACAGTTAGGTTCAGGGCCTCAGGTTATAGGGACAGTTAGGTTCAGGGCCTCAGGTTATAGGGACAGTTAGGTTCAGGGCCTCAGGTCAGGTAGGGTTAAAGAAAACTACAAAAGTCAGCTTATCATGGACAAGTTAACAAAAGGCGTAACATGAAGTGGTTAGGGTTTTATGTTTCTTTGAGAGACGAATGGCAGAACAAATGACAAAGAGCATGCAATTATTATATCATTATAATTAAAAATAAAAAGTTATGCATAAGCAAAAAACTGAAAACATAAAAAAGTGAATCAGAGGCAAAACTCCATCTATAGCCTAACCCTCTCCATTACAGAGTGAGCCGGTTGTCCCTTCTTGTCACTGTCAGTTTTTGGTGTGCTGGATGTGATTTCTTCTTTGTCCTTTTCATCTGTGTCAACAGTCTCTGCTGCTTGCTTGACCCACTTCAGTGAGGCTCTATACAACTGTTCTTGAAGCAATGGGTCCATACATTTGCCAGTTAGCGGTACCTCTTTACAGTCTCTGTTGAGAATTCATGCAAATAATTAGAATACAATAATCTTGGTAATCTTGGTTTCAGCTTCATAGCAAACGAGTCACCCCATAGTTGCTCCGCTTGTGTGCCAACGAAAAACACACAGAATGTTTGTCGCAGTCCCTTGTGGAAAGATTGCCAGACTGCTGTCTCAGCACAAGCACTAGCATACACACGCATGAAAAGCATACGGTAGCCATCAGAAGTGCTAACACAAACAGTCTGACATTAGAAATGCAGTTCATAATCAACGGTAGCAGAAGTCGCCAAAAGATCAGCAGTTGCGCATGCGATCAATATTAATCACATAAGGGCACCACCAATATTGCGGCGACAGGTCACGCGCCATTTTCTGAATCTACAGTTCACAACACCACGTTGGTCACAGTCGAAAAAACATTCCAAATGAAATCGGCAGCTCACAGGGTCATGCCATGCACTCAACTCAGTAGCTGGCGCGATGAAACTGTATCCTTCCAGTCTACAAATGGATAAAAAATGCAACAGCCAGTCTGGCAGAAGCAAAAAATCTGCCTCGATGCGAAACAGTAACTGTGCCTGGCATCCATTTTTTTCAATACAATAACATATGAACATGGGTGATGTGGCAGTGCCTCATCAATCAGTATGTCCTTTAACTAAAAGTCTTGCCTCCTCTAGCCAATTCTCCAGCACTATGTGCTTTTAAAGCCAATGCATCTTCAATGCCATAGTGCAGTCAATTTGCCTGTTGCCCCGGTGATCAGGTCTACTAATTCAGTGTTCTTCAACTGTGAAATAAGGTCCCCTGTTTTGGTGGTTTGTGGGTGTAGAAGGGTTGAGGAACCTTTCTAATTCACACTGCGGTGGGGATTTTAACAAAAATAGGCCTGGCCATTCAGGTCTACTGAGGGTAAAATGAGTGCCAGGAACTAATCTGGGAGGTAAAGTTACAGAAGCACAGACCACATCACTGCAGCCTTCTGCTGGCTTGAGAACAAGCTGTACACACATGTCATAATTTTAACTGACTAAAGAGCCTTTTGAGAAACATGGAGACAGGTATGCTCCATACAGAATGGTAAGTATCGCTTCAGGGGTAGTTAGTACCCTTTGAATATTTTTTCTCCAGGAATGCTGGTGGGCTGGAAAATAAACAGGCAGAGAGAGAGGCTGGTTCTGCAACATTTGGCGCAAAGCTAGATGTTGAAAGAGTCCTTTCGGAGTAAGTGAACAGTGCGGATGCACAAACAGATTAACATGATCTGAGGAGAATGGTGCTGCAAGGAGTGTCCAGGGGATCTTACCAATTTGAAGTTGCTGACATCTTCTATCTGTTCTGCATAGGTTGGGCACTCTTGCAGCAAGTGTTCATCTATCAGTTAAACATTTCCAGTTAAAATCACAAGTGTCTCCAATCTTAAGCTTATTGAACAAGTGATGTTTTAGCTTAAAATCACTACTCATTCTCTTCAGTTAAGTTGGTAATATGCATCATCCTTCTTGTGGCCTGGATGTCCAGAATACTAGGGTTGTGACACAGGCAGAGAATTTTCGAAAATTAAACAGTGACAGATGCATTTAAGTCAGTCTGGACTTTAGTTTGGTTTGTGAAAAGATCCCTTCTATTTCCAATGGATAACTCAATTAGAGCTCCAGTATTCATTTTCTGTACTCACACATGTCTCTGAGCTGGCCAGACAGACGTTTGGATTTTTCTAGGAGGATCCTCAGATAAGTGATTTTGTGTATTCTTTGTGTATTGCCATGACCGTGAAAGTAGCTAGTGCCAGCCAGCATACACCGGATCACAAATTATTCCTCCCCATGACACTTAATGAATTATCAACATTTTCTGGCCAGATACAATCTCAAACACTAAACTATTTCAAGTCATAAACCAAGAAACTCTTGATAGTATGATAACAAAGGGAAGTTGGAAATGGCTTGGCCATGTTATGAGAATGAATCCTGATATACCTGCCAAAACAGCTCTCATTTGGACACCAGAGGGAAAGAGAAAGAAGGGGCACCCAAAAACTACATGGAGACCAACGATGGAAAGTGAAATGAGTGCTGCATCTCTGACATTGAAAACTGCACTGAAGATTGCACAGGACAGGAAAGCATGAAAAGTCCTCTAGGAAGCCTCATGTGCCACTAGGCATAACGAGAACTGATGATGGCACTTAATAGCAGAAGTGGTTGATGATGATAGCATACAGCACGCAAGAACTTAACAAATAAATAACGAAAACATAAGACGAAGTAATGTTGTAAAAACTTACTTGAAATGTTTTCCAGTGACTTCTGCTAACTCTTCTGCTGTCGCACAATAGATCGATATCTGAGCACCATCTTCAGCATACTTCATTAACATCCACATAAATGGCGCAAAACTGACGCGGATAAACTTTTTGGACTTGAGTGGCAGATGTCGATATATGTCAGTATTACAGATGCCAGGATTCACCACGTTACAAGTAACATTAGTACCTGAAAAAGACAGTTCGATGATTTACAAGCATCCCCTACATTTTAATTAAAAACACAGTACACACACATAAAAAGCAGTGATAACAAAATATATTTTCAGTGCAATTAATTGACACTGATTCGGGCTGACCATGCAAATGATGGACAGAGGGAACAACAATGATGGACACAGGGAAAACAGTCCATGGGAATCCCCATTTAAGAAGTGCACAAACAGGCACTTTCACATTATACTTCATGTCGACACCGTCAGGTATAAGAAGATCAAGATGAGATGAGGTGAGAGGAGAATAACTTCTTTTTCTGCATTAGCTCTTAACAGTGTGGTTGACACATCCTGCAGTGGTTTGCATCTGTGGTTGACACATCATGTAGTGGTTTGCATTTGTGGTTGACACATCATGTAGTGGTTTGCATTTGTGGTTGACACATCATGTAGTGGTTTGCATCTGTGGTTGACACATCATGTAGTGATTTGCATCTGTGGCTGACACATCATCTAGTGGTTTGCATCTGTGGCTGACACATCATCTAGTGGTTTGTATTTGTGGCTGACACATTATCTAATTGTTTGCATTTGTCGTTGATACAACATGTAGTGGTTTGCATCTGTGGCTGACACATCATCTAGTGGTTTGCATTTGTGGCTGACACATCATCTAGTGGTTTGCATCTGTGGCTGACACATCATGTAGTGGTTTGCATTTGTGGCTGACACATCATGTAGTGGTTTGCATTTGTGGCTGACACATCATGTAGTGGTTTGCAATTGTGGTTGACACATCATGTAGTGGTTTGCATTTGTGGCTGACACATCATGTAGTGGTTTGCATCTGTGGTTGACACATCATCTAGTGGTTTGCATCTGTGGCTGACACATCATGTAGTGGTTTGCAATGTCCACACTTGTTGGCACCACATGTCTGACTTCAGCAAACCCTTAAATAGTCACCTTATTTGACATGCTTGTTAGGGAAGCAGAGGCAGTAAGAAAAAGAATTCTTGCTTGCTACATACATCCAGTTTTAACATACGGCTGTGAATCCTGGACAATCAAGTAGGCAGGCCAAACAATTTCTGGAGGCCTCGGAGATGTGGTTTTAGAGAAGAATGCTTTGAATACATTGGACAGCCAAAAAGAGCAACCAAGAGGTTTTGAAAGAGGCGGGAGCCCGAAGACAACTTATCACAGACATCAGAAGGAGACAGTCATCATTTTTTGGCCATGTTATGAGAAGAGGGAAAATAGAACATGTTGTGACCACTGGAAAGATCTGTGGAAGGAGACAGAGGAAGACAATGAGAGAAGATGCTTGACAGTCTTGTTGCATGGCATGGAGGTGTGTCGGCACACGAACTGATACATACTGCAGGAGATCGCAGATTATGGAGAGGCATGATCGCCCACGCCAGTCGACAAGGCACCTGATGTTGATGATAGGCACACACTAAGGGGAGAACTAAACAAGTTCCAGTGGACCAAGAGGTGAAGAAAAGATGCTGGTGTTGGATAGGACACACGTTGAGAAAACCTGAGAACAATCTAACTAACATGTCTTTCCACTAGAACCCCCAGGAGCATAAAAATAAAGGCAGACCTAAAAATACAGCTAGACACATACTAATGTTGAGGTCTGGGAGAGAGCAAGTTCCAGTGGACCAAGAAGTGAAGAAAAGATGCCGAAGTTGGATAGAATATACGTTGATAAAATCGAGAACAACTACAACGTCTTTGCACTGGAACCCATAGGGGCATATAAATAAAGGCAGACCCCCCCCCCCTTTCCACACACAAAAAATGCAGAAGGGAGCCAGACAGTGAAGTTAAAAAGACAAGGGGAAAGCTGCATGCAACAGTGAAGGATAGAACGACTTGGCATGAGTTTGAATGAAGACCTATGCTCCACTGGGGAATAGATGGCAGAAGAAGAAGAAGACAGGCACATATAAAAACAGAAAGCTGTCTCTACTGCCGGCACTAACCCTTTTTTTTAGGGCGATGAAGGATGGGGAAGGGTCTTCAGCCTGAGAATTTACAATTGCATGGATAGCGAAGTCATCACAGATTCTAAAAGTAAGGAATATTTCTGATAGAGTTGACTTTTATTTTCGCTCAAGGAAGACATACTTTCCATCACCTTACCACAGCCATGGCTAAAGGAAGACATACTTTCCATCACCTTACCACAGCCATAGTGGCAGCTACACACTCAACTACTGGCACAAAGGTTTACACAACAAACCTTTACGGGTATTTACACAACACACATTTATGAGCATTTACACAACCAACCTTTAGGACTATTTGCAAAACAAAAATTTACAGGCATTTACATAACAAACTTTTACTGGCATTTACACAACAAACATTTACAGGCATTTACACAACTAACAGTTAAAGGCATTTACACAACAAACATTAATGAGCATTTACAGGCATTTACACAACAAACCTTTACGGGCATTTACACAACAAACCTTTACTGGCATTTACACAACACACATTTACAGGCATTTACACAACAAACATTTATGAGCATTTACACAACAAACATTTACAAGCATTTACACAACAAACATTTACAAAACAAACATTTATAAGCATTTACACAACAAACATTTATGAGCATTTACACAACAAACATTTACAAGCATTTACACAACAAACATTTACACAACAAACATTTATGAGCATTTACACAACAAACATTTATGAGCATTTACACAACAAACATTTACAAGCATTTACACAACAAACATTTACACAACAAACATTTATGAGCATTTACACAACAAACATTTATGAGCATTTACACAACAAACATTTACACAACAAACATTTATGAGCATTTACACAACAAACATTTACACAACAAACATTTATGAGCATTTACACAACAAACATTTACAGGCATTTACACAACAAACATTTATGAGCATTTACACAACAAACATTTACAGGCATTTACACAACAAACATTTATGAGCATTTACACAACAAACATTTATGAGCATTTACACAACAAACATTTATGAGCATTTACACAACAAACATTTACACAACAAACATTCATAAGCATTTACACAACAAACATTTACAGGCATTTACACAACAAACATTTATGAGCATTTACACAACCAACCTTTAGGACTATTTGCAAAAGAAACCGTACAGAGCATTTACACAATCATTCTTCTGGACTAGTTACACACACAAAACACAACAGGCGCATGGTTTACACAACAGCGTCTGCTACCTTTCAACCTCTCTGCCAGCTGGAAGGTATGCAGAATCACCGCCAGCTTGCTCTGTGCATACATGTCTCCGAGAGTGCGTTCCCCCTTCTCCTGATTCACATCTTCAAAGTCAATGTCGCCCAGGTTGTGTGCTGAAGCTGTTGTGTTGATGATGCGACTTGGAGCACTTTCCTTCAGCATATCCAGCAACAATTCAGTCAAGAGAAAAGGACCTGGGAATTTGTTTTTGCAATAATATAATAAAAATGGTAAAAACTGCAGATAAATAATGAGAAGATACAGTTAAAACCCTAATATTCTGAGCTAAGAATGGAACATCACACTAATATTTTAAGTTAAAAATTAGATAACCCAACAAGTCAGTTAATTCTCCTAACCCGTCTAAGTCACCAAGTGAAATTGTTAATAACTTGCCCGACAATGATATTAAAACCTGAACCTCTCTCTCCAAGAAATAAACGAAACAATGTGTTCTGTAACAGCACCGAAAAAACATGCTACAAGGAAAATATCCATTAAATACTAACTTTTCAGGCATTAAAATTTTTAAATCTATGAAATCTAACAAGAGCTACAGATTAAACTACAAGTGTATGTTGTATTTTCGAACTTATTTCTAGCTTTTTATAAAAATGATAATTGATGTTTAACTTTTTTTTTATAGGGGTACTGACGGAACAGCTGAGGTACACCTAAAAAAAAACAGGGACTTTCTTGGTGAAAACGGGATGTATGGTCATCCTATATCTCCAGCAATGAACCTCAAGGGCTTGGAATGCTGAAAAAGAAAACAAGTAGATGATCCATTGTTCTTACCCAAGTAATTAGTCTGAAACTGGACATCAAAGCCATCTTCTGTCTTCTCCTTGGGGCACATCATGACACCTGCATTGTTGATCAGGACATGTAGACTCTTCTCCTCTGGATAAAAATACAAGTACACATTTGTCTGAAATGTACACTGCAAGAATCACCTTGGAATTACACTACATTACCAACTGTCATTTCAGTTCCACCAATAATAAAATGCAAGCATGTAAACAGGAACACTAAAAAGCGTCATTCAACACAATATTCTTCCCAATGCTATGCTATCAGTGTCAATCATAGACATGTCATCAGAAGACAGAAGAAAAACAGTCACAACAGAAACGAAATGTTTATGTACTATGCTAGGTGTAATAAGGAAAGATCAACCCAGGAAGAATGATTCAGGAGGAGAGTCGGAACAGAACCAATTGTGAATTTTATGGGTAGAGAATGGTTTGACCATGTAACAAGACTGACACAGATAGGACACCATAGAGAGCAATGTCATAGAGATACAGCAATGACAGAGCCATACACAGACAGGACACCATAGAGAGCAATGTCATAGAGATACAGCAATGACAGAGCCATACACAGATCACACAGAATGTGGACCGTGGAAACATCAGAGGAGACCATGAAGTGAACAGAAGGGTCCTTTCCACAGATCTCTTCCTGCCCTGACGCTGTTGGGCATTCCAGGAGTAGAGAAAAGAGGAAGAAGAAGACCAACTGTCAAACACTTCTAGGGTTAAAGTTCAATGTCATAACAGTCAACACAGAAATCAGGCTATATGTATGCATGCTTGGGATTTCTGTGTGACCTGTCACGACACAACTTCAAAGCTAAAAAAAAAGGATCATAACACCAACCTAAAACATGACTGGTTATTTCCTAATAGGTCAATGCAGACAACAATGGGACTGCATACATCTGTGGTTTCTAAGCTTTATGTGGGGAACGAAAGCTCCCAGTGGATATGGTGATTTGGTATTAAGTCAGGAGAAAAGTCTCTTTTCTTCCTCTCCTTAGCATTCACCGGCTGTAAACTCTGACATAAGGTTCTTGTTGTTTGTCCACTTCTGGACTTTGATTTGTTCTAGAACTTGAGTTTTGAATGTACATTCATTTGGTAGATCTGACAGTTGGTTCCTCGCCTCTCAGACAGATGCACTTTAACTTCAAGGAATCACCATAATTTGTTGCCTCTTACGGCATGCACAATGGTGGGGTGGGGGAGGGGGCGCAGTGGGTACAATGAGGCCCTGGAATTTGCATGGGAAAAGTATCTCCTTATGAATGACTTTTCTTCTTCTTCTACTGTCTTTTATCATATTCTATTGTCTTTTATTGAAAGCATGTGCTCTCAACTATTTCATACTAGGTCTCGCACCATCTGCTATCTCTTATAATCCTGTGTCTTTCCAACATTATTCATCTGTTTTTGTGTGTTTTCACAACTGTATCTGCATCAATTCAAACTGGTGCTGCTGCATTCTAACCAAATGTCCAAACCAGTTAATCTTCTGTTTCTTAATTAACATACTTATAATTACCTACCATCATAATCATGTATAATTAATGAGAATATAGCAACAAGTGAAGGACCCTTTTCCCTGCCTTTAGGTGTATTAGGCATGCAGAGCCAGCCCTATATTTTACAGACCAATCAGCACTTAGTAGTGGTCATCATCACACCAGCTGCCTTTACTTCCCTGGACTTTTACCTGGTACTCATTTAAGAAAAAAGTCTAGCTCAGTTCGGACCTGAATCCACGACCTTTAGATCCGCAGATGAGCATCTAGACGCTAAACCACAGCGGCTTCCAATGAAAATATAGGCATTCTTTAAATATTTATATAGTGCTTTAATTATAATGATCTAATAGTTAAACAATAAAAATTAGGAAAAATCATGTACTTTTCTTGAATTTTTCCACAAATTCTTGGATGGACTTGAAGGAGTTAAGATCCAGTTTCAGAAAGTAAACATTCATGTTTTCAGTTTCCTTGCGAATGTCGTCTGCTGTTTGTTTCCCCTCTGCTTCATTCCTGCCAGCCAACACAATTTTCCCACCTAAAATAACAGAAATTATCAAAATAAGTCTTTACAATCTTTAGAATTCTTAAATGTAAAAATACATGCAAACACCTTTTCTTGTGCCTTTTATTGCACACCGGAACGTAGGTCCTCAACAACTCACACCAAGCCGCCCTGTTATTTGCTATCTCTGCATCTCTTTTCCCCATGGTTCATTGCAAGAGTTCAATGGGAGTCGATCCATATTTTCCGCAGCCGTCCTCTTGCTCTTGTAGCTGATCTTCTGAAATGTAGTGCTTGTGATGGTATTTGATCTTGCTGCATTCTAACGAGATAGCCAAACCACTTGATCTGCTGTTTCAAGTGGTTTGTCTATCTCGTTAGAATGCAGTAAAATACCATCACAAGCACTAGATCTCAGAAGATCAGCTACAAGAGCAAGAGGATGGCCGCGGAAAATATGGATCGACAAAATTAAAGACACTCTACGCCTTCAAAGCATGACAATAGCCAGTGGCAGCCAACGAGCACTGGATTGCAAATTATTCCTCCCCACCACACTTAACGGCAGAAGTGGTTTATGATGATGATGACTGTAAGGCAGATCAAGAATATGGTGGAGATACAATGTATATGCAGTCCTATAAACACTTACAGTCACCAACTGAAAAGAGAAGGCCAATCAGAGAACACACAAGTGAACAAACTTTATTTTCAAAGGGTTATAAATTGGACACGCAGGCCCATCTCACATTCGGTCCTTCTAAGCGCTCATCTTTTAGACAACAAATGCATGGTATCAGTAATGCATGTTATGTTTATATGACAGATGAATGCAGGCAGGTAACCTCTACAGGAATCAACCTCAAGGGCCCAGAATGAAGAAGAAGGCATTTCAAGGTCTTCCTCTATTTATTTTGACCCGCTGGTGCCCATGAAGGGACTTTCTAGATATAATTTTATAGTTGTTTTTCTTCTCAGAAAAATAAAAATAAAAAACATTCATGGTCTTGTCTATCCACTGTACAAGAAGTAGAAGAACTGTTATGTTTGCGGTCCTGGTTCAGACCACTATGCTCGGCATTTTTGTTTAAGTTGTACTTTAAGAACAAGTGTCTGGTGTGATGTGCTGTGTCACTGCGAGGTCTTGCTGATGTATCTGCTTCACTTCCCGCCTGGTCTATATGGTCTGTACAAGCAGCTTGCTGTGGTATACTGTTTGTTACATGGCCAAACCATTTCACTTGTTGCTTTCTATAAAATTCAGAGCTGCTGCTACCCCTACTTTCTTTCAAGTATCATCGTTTTTGATCTGAACTCTTCTTATTATGTTAAAAGCCCTTTGAAGGAATCTCACTGAAGGTTGATGTAATCTTTCTTTTCTCTGTTTCTGTCCTTGCCCAGGTCTGGTATTCTTCTTCGTGTTCACCAGCTGTGAATCTGGTGGAAAGTTCTGGTTGTTCGTCCCCTTTAGGACAGCAGTCCTTTTTCAGAACCTGAGTGCTGTGTTGTGCATTCGTTTTACAGATATGACTCATTTGTATGCAAAATGTTGGTTTCTTGCTCTCAGGCATATGCAATCCGACTTCAAAGGAAGCTCTCAATTAGTCGGCTCTTATGACATGCTTTTGGGTAGGCAGTGGGTCTATTCTTGTTTTCCCTGTAAGAGGGCCCCGGAACCCACAAAGGGAGGTCTGGTATTGATAGCACAGGTTTGGTAAGAAGAGTACAGAGTACTTGTTTCTGCTGACACATGTTTGTTTCTCAGTATTGTGTCATTTGCCCAATGAGCTGGCTTGCTCTGGTACAGTTGTTATAAATGGGGGTTATATTTATACTCTTGTTTGAAAACATAAACGGTAGAGTCAAACCTCTCCTTGCAAAATTCATGGCGATTGCCTTGCCAATGCAGCCACTTGCCCCTGTAATAATCACAGTCTTGTTCTTCAAATTGGCTCCCCCTATGCACTGGGGGCCTCTGATCCACTGGCTGAAACAGAAAATATAGAATAAAGTTAACAGAAGAATAATGAATAATGATTAATTGTAGTCATTATCAGCAGCCTGGCATAAATATTCCATTTGCTGTTTGTATAACATCTAGGTATTTATCACCCAGTGGCTGGTATTGATTGCATAGGTCTGGCAAGAAGAGATTGTGTCACAGAGCACTTATCTAGGTATCTATCATCCAGTGGCTGGTATTGATGGCATAGGTCTGGCAAGAAGAGATTGTGTCACAGAGCACTTATCTAGGTATCTATCACGCAGTGGCTGGTATTGATGGCATAGGTCTGGCAAGAAGAGATTGTGTCACAGAGCACTTGTCTAGGTATCTATCACCCAGTGGCTGGTATTGATGGCACAGGTCTGGCAAGAAGAGATTGTGTCACAGAGCACTTGTCTAGGTATCTATCACCCAGTGGCTGGTATTGATGGTATAGGTCTGACAAGAAGAGATTGTGTCACAGAGCACTTGTCTAGGTATCTATCACCCAGTGGCTGGTATTGATGGCACAGGTCTGGCAAGAAGAGATTGTGTCACAGAGCACTTGTCTAGGTATCTATCACCTAGTGGCTGGTATTGATGGCACAGGTCTGGCAAGAAGAGATTGTGTCACAGAGCACTTGTCTAGGTATCTATCACCCAGTGGCTGGTATTGATGGCACAGGTCTGGCAAGAAGAGATTGTGTCACAGAGCACTTGTCTAGGTATCTATCATCCAGTGGCTGGTATTGATGGCACAGGTCTGGCAAAAAGAGGTTGTGTCACAGAGCACTTGTCTAGGTATCTATCACCCAGTGGCTGGTATTGATGGCATAGGTCTGGCAAGAAGAGATTGTGTCACAGAGCACTTGTCTAGGTATCTATCACTCAGTGGCTGATATTGATGGCACAGGTCTGGCAAGAAGAGGTGTCACAGAGCACTTGTCTGGTTTCTACTGACACATGTTTGTTTCTCAGTATGATTATTGCACCATTTGCCCAATGAGTGGTTTGCTGTGTTACAGTTGTCATAAATGGCGTGATATTACTGTTGTTAGAAAACTGTTGTATACCCGGGAAGTACTCAACACAATCACAATGGACAACCACCCACACTGGACTACGGGTTTACTTTGTAACCCCAGTATAACTCTGCAATATGCCTATTATACAAATGAACAGGGTTTCTGGGATTTGCTAAGTGTAGCTATTTGATTCTCATCCTTAAGATGTTAATCCCACAGAATCAAATGCAAATCTGGAAGGGGGAAAATTCAAAACTTGAATAGAAAAAAACACACACACAATGGATGATGCATTAATAGTATTATAATACTTCGTACATTGATTTATTATATAATTTAATCTACAACAATTCGTCGTAATATAATCATCATCAGGTACCTTGCCGACTGGCGTGGGCGATCATGCCTCTCCACAATCTGGGATCTCCTGCAGCATGTATCAGTCCGTGTGCTGACACACCTCCATGACATGCAACAACTGTCAAGAATCTTCTCTCGTTGTCTTCCTCTATCCCTCCTTCCATGGATCTTTCCAGCGGTCACAACATGTTCCATTTTCTCTCTTCTCATTATTTTACACATTCATTTAGGAATAATTCTTTTCTTTGATACCCCATCATTACTTCTCTTCAAACTGAGGCCCATTCTTCCACTGTCTACCACCACATTAAAATAACATGGAACTGTAATAAGGAATGTAAGTAAGATTAAATGTATTGTAGCATGTAGACAGTACCGAACTCCATAAATTGTTCCAATGGCACCAGCGATCAGAAACGGCCACCAAGACTGGAATATTGCATCTGGGTTTGGCATATTCGCTATGAAATCCTCCATTGCTTTATTTGATCCCATCTTTACTTTTCGGTGATTCAAGAACGAATTTTTAAACAAACATGTGGCAAATGCCCGTTACGCCTGTGAAAGACGATAAAGACCAGCTCTTGGTCACAGCAGAAATTAGAAATTATTCACGGATCTAAACTTGAATCTGTGCCGTTAGGTGTAGTGTATGTCTCAACAGTTAAGAATTTATTAAAGCATTCTATTAATTATTCGTGTTTTATGCTGCCACACAAAATAGTATTTTATCTTAAAAAAAATTAATTTACGTTTGTATTTTTATATGCAGATATATGTAAATTATTTTACAACTTCTAACGAAAGATGGACGATATTTTTAGCTGAAATCTTGCTACAATGGGAAGTCTATGAAACTGTTGTAATTGTATAGATTAAAAAGACGAAAGCAGGTCGTTGTCTTAAAAAGCAGGACCAGAACTGGTAGCTCTGGAATCGAAATAAAGACATTCTCATTCTCATTGAGCTCCATCCCTGTCAAAATGGGTCCGGACGGTTTGCTCTTCATATTTGCTTTACTGGACGAAGGCGCTCTACTTTTTCTGGCTGTGTACTTTGTATCCTTTGCAAAACGCCGTTTTCGCTGATAAAAATATTATTATACAAATAAGTGTCGAAATTGCTTGTTTGTGACAATGTAGTTTAGTAGTAATAATATATCATAAATATATACAATAGTAATACTAACTAGGCTCTCCTCCGAACTTCTACCCCGGTATTATAAAATATCCTTACAGGCTCAGTTCTATTAAAAATATGCCGGCTCCGTATAACGAAACAAATGCTCTAACAGGGTCTCAGCGATATGTTACTTGTGGACCTGTTTCTGTGACGCCTCACTGCCTACCGTATCCCCCGAGCCGCTATGGGCGGCGCGAATAGGGCTAAACTAGATGGCTGGGACTCACGAGCAGCAGCTACCGCATCTCCTGCAACTTCCTCCAATTAATTTGCTCGTGAGTCCCAGGCACCTAGTTTAGCTACCCATCGGCGCGTAGCGGCGCGAGAGATACTGTCGGCGGTGAGTGTAACCGCGTTTTGCGCATGCCGAAAAGTTTTAGGACGACAACGATGCTAATCTGCGTCGGCGCACGTGGTCTCCCGGCCATGTGGCTTTTATCGTCATTAATGTTGCATGTCTCGAAATTGTCAATGGTCGCTAGTATCGTCTGCAGAAATGCTCGAAAGTGTCAACGGTCCCTTTTATCGTTTGCTACTATCGTCTACAGTGTTGCGTCTCTTGAAATTGTCAAGTAATCCTAGTTTTGCCGCGATTCGTTTGTCGCCGGAAGTTCGCATATTTTTAATAGGACTGAGCCCCGTAAGGATGTTTGTTCGGCCGTCATAATGCCAGGGTAGAAGTTCAGAGGAGAGCCCAATACTATAACTTCTCCTCCAACCCCCCTTTCCCCCCAACTTACGACATATAAACTCAAACTAGCACCATCCTAAACTTGCATCCAGCTGAAATTAATCAGTAATCCATCTGTATCTCAATCAAGAAACAGGGCTCTGAACGTAGAGATTAATTTGCTGAGAAAAAATGTAGATCATGACGTATAGGATAAGTGGTTTATTTAATTACATTAACTCTCAGACGCAAAGAACCGGGTCCATGATTTTTTTTTTAAGAAAGCCACACAAATCAAACACAACACCACCTATGGGTGAACTACCTAGAACAATCTTCTCTGTCTTAAGAGCAGGAGGAAAGTAACTGGTCACCCCACTTCATTTTACTGTACCAAGGGGCATTTTTCGTCTGATAGTACTCTGTACTGGCCTTTGTTTAAAGCTTAATTTTGGCTAACCTCCGAATAACGATCCCAAATTATCGAGGCTAAGAAAATACCCTAACAGGGCCTCAGTCATATGTAAATTGCGGACCTCTCTCCGGCGACTATACCGCATACTACGGAAAAGCTTTCGCCGAGTTAAAGTAATGCTGAGAGTTTCCCCCCGAGCTGCTACGTGTGGCGTTGAGAGGGTTGGGCTAAACTAGATAGCTGGGACTCACAAGCAGCAGCTACCGCATCTCCTGCAGCTTCCTCCATTTTATTTGAGTCCCGGCCATCTAGTTTAGCCCCCTCCGCGCCACACATAGCAGCGCAGGGGATACTCCCGGCGGTGGCAGTATAGTCGCAATAAAGAGGTCCACAATTTACATATGACTGAGGCCCTGTTAAGGTATTTTCTTAGCCTCGATAATTTGGGACCATTATTCGGAGGAAAGTCATCATTTTTTCTGCTGTAATAGACACTGTGTGTTGAGTACCGGCAATTTTTATTCTAGGAAAAAAAATGGTTGTACTCATGTGGCTGTGACATGTGAACTACTTTATATCTCTTTGACAATAAATGTGATCGGATTATGACCTATCTTTAACCAAAGGAAAAAATGAATTTCCTTAATAAGTTCACAGGTAATCACTCTGTCAGATTTGGAGTGTGACTATCTCAATGCGAGAACATGCTGTGACAAGTTAAACTATGTGAGTAACTATTTGATCATGTTTCTCCATCGGACCTGTAAATGAGTATTGACCATGTTGTAAACATTAATAAATTATAATACTTGAGTTGTTATAATTTATTTGTCGCTGAAAATATGATTGTAACACTATATTTGGGTCTAACATTACTTTTAAGTTTGACATCACATCTGGGTCTATCACTGTAACAGGTCCAGTACACATCTGGGTCTATCGTCACTGTTCTTGCTTCTTTGTGGGCATTGGCTTCTCTTTCTGTTGTATTGCCCTCTGGGAGCATGGCTGCTGTATAAGTAAGTACATTTGGTTTCATATAATACTTTACCCTTGTGTTTGAGCTCACAGTGTCTTCTACAGTCTCTTCCCAATATCTTCTACAATCTCTTCCACAATCTCTTTCACAGTCTCCTCCCAATATCTTCTACAATCTCTTCACCCAATATCTTCTATGATCTCTTCCACAATCTCTTTCACAGTCCCTTCCCAATATCTTCTACAATCTCTTCCACAATCTCTTTCACAGTCCCTTCCCAATATCTTCTACAATCTCTTCCACAATCTCTTTCACAGTCTCTTCCCAATATCTTCTACAATCTCTTCCACAATCTCTTCACCCAATGTCTTCTATGATCTCTTCCACAATCTCTTCCCAATATCTTCTACAATCTCTTCCACAGTCTCTTCCCAATAACTTCTACGTTCTCTTCCACAGTTTCTTCCCAATCAATATTTTCTACTGTCTCTTCCACAATCTCTTCCACAGTCTCTTCCTTATCTCTTCCACAATCTCTGTCACAGTCTCTTTCCAATATCTTCTACAGTCTCTTCCACAATCTCTTCCCATTGTCTTCTACGGTCTCTTCCACAATCTCTTCCACAGTCTCTTCCCAATATCTTCTACGATCTCTTCCACAATATCTTCCACAGTCTCTTCCCAATATATTCTACGATCTCTTCCACAGTTTCTTCCCAATCAATATTTTCTACTATCTCTTCCACAATCTCTTCCACAATCTCTGCCACAGTCTCTTTCCAATATCTTCTACAGTCTCTTCCAAAATCTCTTCCCAATATCTTCTACGGTCTCTTCCACAATCTCTTTCACAGTCTCTTCCCAATATCTTCTACTATCTCTTCCACAATCTCTTCCAAATGTCTTCTATGATCTCTTCCCAATATCTTCTATGGTGTCTTTCACAATCTCTTCCCAATATCTTCCAGTCTCATGCCCACTGCTTATGCAGTCTCTTCCACAATCTGTTTCTAGTCTCTATCACAGTATTTTCACAGTCTCTTCCCGGTCACTTCCCAATGTCTTCTATGATCTCTTCCACAATCTCTCCCCAATATCTTCTACAGTCTCTTCCACAATATCTTCCACAATCTCTTCCTGATCGTCTCTTCCTGATCTCTTCCACAGTCTCTTCCAAAATCTATTCCCAAAATCTTCTACTATCCCTTCCACAATCTCTTCCTAATCACTTCCACAATCTCTTCCACAATCTCTTCTCAATATCTTCTACTATCCCTTCCACAATCTCTTCCTAATCACTTCCACAATTTTTTCCACACTGTTTTCCCAATCTCTTCTGTTGCCAGCATATCACATAGCCGAATCACAGTACAGTGCATGCGATCTACGATAGCAGCAAGAACCTTGATAAATGCAGAAATGTGTTGAGAAAGAGAACTGTTCACTCCATCTCATAAGTTGTGGCCTAGATATGTCAAGACCTAACACATCACAACCCAATAGCAGTGTCCGCTGTGGGATTGCTTGTACCTTTATACATGAACATACTTGTGGACACTTATGAAGGAACTGTTTTTGGACACCCTGTATGGAGATACTGTTTTTTTTTTTAACACCTTGTGTGAAGACACTGTTTTTGGACACCATATATGAAAAAAAAAAAGTTTTTGGACACCCTGTATGTAGGTACTGTTTTTGACACTATGTATGGAGAACTGTTTTTTGGACACACTTTATGGAGATACTGTTTTTTTAGTCACTGCATATGTAAAACTGTATTTGGATGCCGTGTGTGGAGAAACTTTTTTTGGATATCTTGTATGGAGAAACTGTTTTTGGACATCTTGTATAAAGAAACTGTTTTTGGACGTCTTTTATAGAGAACTATTTTTGGACACCCTGTATAGAGAATCAGTTTTTTAAACCTTGCATAGAGATACTGTGACACTGTGTATGGAGAAACTGTTTTTGTAACCCTGTATGGAGATACTGTGACACTGTGAATGGAGAAACTGTTTTTGGAATCCTGTAGGGAGATACTGTGACACTGTGTATGGAGAAACTGTTTTTGGAATCCTGTATGGAGATACTGTGACACTGTGTATGGAGAAACTGTTTTTGGAATCCTGTACTGTGACACTGAGATACTGTGACACTGTGACACTGTGATGGAAACTGTTTTTGGAATCCTGTATGGAGATACTGTGAGACTGTGTATGGAGAAACTGTTTTTGTAACCCTGTATGGAGATACTGTGACACTGTGAATGGAGAAACTGTTTTTGGAATCCTGTATGGAGATACTGTGACACTGTGTATGGAGAAACTGTTTTTGGAATCCTGTATGGAGATACTGTGACACTGTGTATGGAGAAACTGTTTTTGGAATCCTGTATGGAGATACTGTGACACTGTGTATGGAAAAACTGTTTTTGGAATCCTGTATGGAGATACTGTGAGACTGTGTATGGAGAAACTGTTTTTGTAACCCTGTATGGAGATACTGTGACACTGTGAATGGAGAAACTGTTTTTGGAATCCTGTATGGAGATACTGTGAGACTGTGTATGGAGAAACTGTTTTTGGAATCCTGTATGGAGATACTGTGAGACTGTGTATGGAGAAACTGTTTTTGGAATCCTGTATGCAGATACTGGTTTTGGACACTGTGTATGGAGGTGAAACTATGTTGTGGAACTCTGTATGGAGATACCGTATTTTGGACATCCTGTATGGAGAAACTGTTTTTGAACACCCTGTATGAAGAAACTGTTTTTGAAACCTTTTATGGAGATACTATTTTTGGACACTGTTAATGAAGACACTGTTTTTTTGGACACCCTATATGAAGACACTATAAATAACTGTAAAAGTGAAAGGATTGACTTCATTGCATCAGGTTGTATCCCACATTCCTCAGTGTCTCTCTGCAGAACAGCTAGCTGCCTGCCGAGGGTGTTGCACAGAGCATGACCTCCGTAGCCCTGAGCGACGATCCCCAGGTATCTACGTAAAAATTGCACTCGTGAATTGAATATTTTTGCATTCACCTCATGAAAGACATGCTCATGTTTTAAGTGAGATTACATGCCCCACAGGGGTAAAAGAATAGACCCACTCTCCAACAAAAGTTATTTGTGTATGCCTTATAGCAGAACCAACTCTAGCATTTTTAGCTGTTGTGGTTTTTCTAGGCAAAGTTTATGTTCAGTAGTTTGTCATTGCTTTCAGAATGGTCAGCTCTCAGTGCCAATGTCGAAACCAACACAAGACAAATCAGCTGCAGCTGGTACTCTTGCATTACGAAGTGCGTTCGCAGTGTCTAAGCCACAGACGCCAACCCCAACGTCCTCTAACAAGCATGTTGTAAAAGTAGACTAGTTGGGGGGTGTTTTCTTTGAAGTTGGAGTGCGTCTGCATGAGAGGAACCAACAATCCACATACAAAAAAATACAAATCTGTAAAACACGTTTGCACACAAAACTTAAGGTTCTGGAACCAGAGTAAAGTCCAGAAGTGGATAAATAGCCAGAACTTTCTGCAGGAGTTTACAACCGGTGAACATGCAAAAGTAGAAGAAATGTAATATGCGTCTCTTTGGCTTAAAGGTTTGTGAACTGGTTTCACAGTGCAATCTTGATGTTTGCCAGGGTTCACTTCTTTAAATAGGCAATTCTTGTGGCTTTCAAATGGTAGTATGAGAGTCACTTGTACCTTGGACGAGAATGAGGCCTCAGTGCATAGTTTTCCTATGGTTAGCAGTGGATGCAACACCTGAGCACATTCTGCAGGCTTGCCCTCTATGCTTACCCCCATGAAGAGATACCTGACCTCAAGAACAAAGTGTGCAGAGCAAGCTATTGGCAACCATGGAGGACCTGCAGCTGACATGCGAGTTCACAGAGACAGCCCACCTGACAGTCTGACCTGAACATATGAAATTGAATGCAAGGAAGAAGATCAGTGGATACATTGCAGCCAATTTCCATTGTGGTGACTGCACAATTAAAAAAAAAAATTATCTTAACTTAGAATATTTTGTTGACAGCATTTTTTTCACAATATCTTTAGGTTTGTTATGAAGCCATCGGGTAATATTGGATTGTTTGATCCTACTGAAATCCATAACCACAAGCATTTGAAAACATACATGAGGGAGAGTCTTGTACGACTGGGATTCCATATAATATTCTTCTTTGTCTATCTGTACTGGTAAGTTGTCTTTGTAGATGTGACAAATGAAGTTGGGAATAACACGGTTGTAGGAATTCTAATGCAAGCAACTCATGCCAAGGTTTTTCTTTTAGGTTTGTTCAGAATTGATTGGACATTTCACAACCATAGGGAGGGGGTAGAAATGTTACTGAGGGGGAGGGGATAGAAATGTTACTGAGGGGGAGGGGATAGAGATGTTACTGAGGGGGAGGGGATAGAGATGTTACTGAGGGGGAGGGGATAGAGATGTTACTGAGGGGGAGGGGATAGAGATGTTACTGAGGGGGAGGGGATAGAAATGTTACTGAGGGGGAGGGGATAGAAATGTTACTGAGGGGGAGGGGATAGAAATGTTACTGAGGGGGAGGGGATAGAAATGTTACTGAGGGGTAGGGGTGAGGGAATAACATTATTGAATGATATATGTTGTATTGAATGATGTATGTTGTATTTTTTGACATCTGTTATATTGATTGCTGTATGGTAGCGGAATGTTTGAAAAAACCAAATGCTCATAGTTTTTGGACTGTGGTAGGAGAGTTACACCGTGGAAGAGACTGGGGCCTTACCACATAAAATTCAAAAGACAACAGTGGTATACTGTAGCCAGAGGAAAGGCAAGACGGACGTATAACCAGAATGTGACCGGTACCATCAGTATTGGAACTCTGCGCTGGCTGCTGAAGATAAGGATGGAGCATGCATGGGAATGCTCTGAGTGCTGTGATGTCATTTCTTGACTTAACTCAACTCAACTCACCTGTAGCCAAATTTCATTGTGCTGACAGCACAGACAATTTAATTGTAAGCGACGAATCTTGGAATGTGAATGGACAAACAAGGAAGAGCTTGCAGGCTGTGTAGAATTTGTTCCTGAGACAAATATTGTGAATAACCCGGAGAACAGGGTCAATAATTATTGACTGACAAAGCTGCTGGAAGTGGAAAATTCTTTAACCGTAGTTCCAACTTCACAGCAAATGGTTCAGCCTTTAATTGCTCCGTTACTGTGCCAGTGAAAACTACAGAGAACGCCGGTTAATGTCCCTTGTGGGCAATATTGAAATAGATTGCAGGCCTGGTAAAGCCAACAGCATGCACATATTTTAAACACATAAGGCAGCTGCGCAAAGTGCTAACACAAACAGTCTACTACAAGAATTACAGTTCACTGCCGCTAGAAGCAGCAGCTGCAACAAATCAGCACTTGCACCTGCAACATTGCATAAGGCATCACCAGATCTGTGGCAACAGGTCTCTTGCCATTAAAAAAATCTGCAGTTCTCAGTACAAACCAGCTTGGGCACAGTCGATAAGCATTTGGAAGATTGTCTAAGTTGAGGGCATGGAGAAATATGAACAATAAAATTGATTTAGAACATCATGGACCAAGGTCTTCCAAGGGAAATTAATACCACCTATGCCATATTGTAATATGTTATCTCAGTCGACAAAACTGCATATTGGGCATTCCTGTGAGTCTTCAGATAAAACAGTCACTCCAAGATACCTCTACTGGAAAGTTAATACTTTCTTGACCTATGGCATAGATGTGTCACCAAATTATGCTTATGTCTCAGTAGCATCAGTGAATTCATCAGTAAACCTGTTACAAATGTTAATATTGGTCCATGCTTTTTTCCGTTTGCATATAGTACTTTAAAACCTCATGCCTCAGATATTATTACTTATATGTTGAAAGATACCGTCCTTAACCAGTACAGACAGCTGATGAGAAACTGTCTGTCTGTGTCGCCGTCCGCACGCAACTGCATAGCTAGAGAAATTCCTCCATTCACCCAAGAGTGGTAACTCTGGTACCCATTACCTAGAGGCTGGTTGAACCCTGTACTTATGCTATCTTGCAAGGTACGTGAAGAGATGATTTGCCTCTGTTTATCGTAACTAATAACAGTACAATGTGAAACCTAGTAATTTAATATTTATAATAAATATAATTATTTATTTGTTCACCAATGAATACATCTGACTTCTCAGGATGATCTACTCTCTGGTGAAAGGCTACTAGTATTCCTGGATTACCACCCTTGTGTGAATCAACATATCAAAAAGTGTCTGCACCGAACCTCCTGGATCACCTTTTGTTGCCTCATCACTTTATACTTGTACAGTTCACATCACTTCATTACTTTGTTTTTGTAAGATTTTGTTTGCTGTGAACATTCAAACATAAAAGTGTGAACCTATTGAATGATTTTCAGTGTGAACTAATTCACTGTGTATATTCTTTAAAAAGAAAATACTTTTTCATTGATGTGTTTTTATCAGTGACGGGAAAGCCTGTACGCATAAAAACTATAAATGACCCAGATGCAAAAAAAAACCTGTCAATTTATTTGTTGAACCATATGGTATTCAGTATGCTTTTTGAACAGTTTTACTTATAAAATTACAAAGATTTTGAATGTCAGATGTTCCTTTTTGTATTTAAAAAGAAATTTGTTTGTAGTAAAACGCCATTGAATAACAATGTGTTTCTTTTTTTTTGAGCAGAATAGTTAAACACCAGTCCTGCTTTTATGACTTGTAGCTACATGTTATAGAGTTCTTTCACTTTCATTGATCACTCCCACCTCTTTCCCGCAGTATTTTTAGTTATGTTCCTACTGGAGCCTCAGCATTTGATTGGTTTTGTTTCTAAGAAACATAACAGATTCTTCTGTATATCCACATTTTCAGGGCCTGAATTTTACTCTTTAATTGCTTGTTCACTATCTAGGTTTCTGCAGCACACACTAATGCTGAATATATATACCATATGGTAATTCCTAGTTTTAATATTTTTTTGTTGTTGTTGCTCTGTAGATGTTATTGTTTGATTGTATTATTGAAAATATTTTTAGTCATTTGTAATCTCTCTTTAATTTCTATTATCTATTATTAAATGTCCAAAATAGAAGAAACAAGTTTATGGAGAAATGAACTAGGAGTGAGAGAGATCAGGCTTAGGGGTTAGAGATTATTTACTTTCATCTCTCTCTCTTTCTCTCTCTCTCTCTCTCTCTCCCCCCCCCCTCTCTCTCTCTCTCATGTGTAGCTATCCTGTTCATTTAAAAACATCTTTTTCTTTCACAGTAAAATTGCCTTATTCTAAATATATCTTGCTTCTATAAAAATAACGTCATGATTGGAAGTAACTCAGCAGACAACATGTGTACAGTTGGCAGATATTTTTGTAGTTCATATATGCCTTTCTTCTGACTAAATTTTCCTACAGATTATAACATTTAAAAAACAAATCATAAGAGGCACATTGCAGCATTGTTACATTTGTGAAGTTTTTGCTTTTATTAACATCTTGTTGTGATGAAGACTTAGTGTTTATATTTTGATACCATGACCATCAGCTTCAGTTTCCCCATTCTTTTGTTTAAGCATCAGGGAGATACCATATTCCATGTTTTTGTTTGTTTGTTTGAATGCCCATGTCAGCTTTGTTGATATATTTAATAATGACTTTTTTTTTTAAACGTACCAGCTGCAAATAAATATTGTTTGTATTCGTTAAGCCTCACACCACAGATCTCTAAGAATTGTACCCTCTCACTATGTCTGTAACTATTGTACCCAGATATGTTGAGAATTGTACCCTCTCACTATGTCTGCAACTATTAAACCCAGATATGTTGAGAATTGTACCTTCTAACTATCACTGTCTGTAACTATTTGTACCCTGTACTATCTAACTATGTCTGAAAAACTCTCCAGATGTGTGTTCAGAATTGTACCCTCTCACTATGTCTGTAACTATTGTATCCAGATGTGTTGAGAATTGTACCCTGTCATCATGTCTGTAACTATTGTATCCAGATGTGTTGAGAATTGTACCTTGTCATCATGTCTGTAACTATTGTATTCAGATGTGTTGAGAATTGTACCTTGTCATCATGTCTGTAACTATTGTCCCCAGATGTGTTGAGAATTGTACCTTGTCATCATGTCTGTAACTATTGTCCCCAGATGTGTTGAGAATTGTACCTTGTCATCATGTCTGTAACTATTGTCCCCAGATGTGTTGAGAATTGTACCCTGTCATCATGTCTGTAACTATTGTATCCAGTGTGTTGATAATGAAATATCTCAAACCTGTGGAGGGATCACAGCCCAGTCTATGCCTACATCCCAGAAGTGATGACAAGTGGTATCTGCGGTTGAGCCATTACTACATTTTTTCATTACTGTTACTAATTTTGTTATTATTAAAATTTTGTTGTTGCTTTGTTTTGTTTTGAAGCTGTCTTTTTGTGTTCCTCTATTTTATATTCCTTTCTAGTTATTCTTACGACTCCCCCGTGTAGCGGCTAGTTGTCTAGGATTTATATTCTTGTTGTGCTGCTCATTGACAGTCTTTGGCCAAAGCATTTTGTTTCTTTGTATGTATTTTTCACGTCCTCTTCTTTGTTCCGCTTCCTAGTCAAATATGTTCATTAAATTTATTTAATCGATCGCACAGTTTGTACCCTCCGGGCTGCTACCTAAAGGTTTACCATACTATCATGAGATAAGAAATCTTAATCTGTATGGCAGACCAACAAGGTAGATAGCCAGATAGCCTGTCAACCTCCAGTGAATAATTAGCCACGTACCAACCTCCTGTGTGGGAAGTTATAATTTATATGCACACGAATCAAGGCTGGTTATATTCCCAGTCTCTACTGTGTTCAGGGTCTTGCACACATTTCCAGTTTCTGAGCTTGGAGAGGTCATGAAGAGTCCTGAAACATGTTGATGATGCTTTAGTACTGGGTCAGGAGAAAGAAAGTTCTCTACACTAGGGCTTGCATTTATCTAAGATTGACATGGAGACTCTAGTTACAATCCAGTAGCAAAGTACTCTCTCCACAGGGACTGTGTTGCAATGCTGTCATTCCCTATTCCAAACAAAACTGACACCCCCCCCCCCCCTTGAAAAAGAAGCTCCAGTTTCTGAGCATTGTGAGTCGGGGATCTTTGGAACATAAGCTTGAAAATGCTTTGAATGTTAGCTTGACAGCCTATGAATCCTTAGAATTTTAGCTAGGCAATCTTCAGATCTTTGGCTTGACAATGCTGGGAGTGTTAACTTGGCAATTTTTGGAATATTGGCTTGGCAATCCTTAAAATTTTAGCTAGGCAATCTTTGGAATATTGGCTTGGCAATCCTTAAAATGTTAGCTAGGCAATCTTTGGAATATTGGTTTGGCCATCCTTGGAATGTTAGCTAGGCAATCTTCAGATCGTTGGCTTGACAATGCTGGGAGTGTTAACTTTGGAATATTGGTTTGGCCATCCTTGGAATGTTAGCTAGGCAATCTTTGGAATATTGGCTTGGCAATCCTTAAAATGTTAGCTAGGCAATCTTCAGATCGTTGGCTTGACAATGCTGGGAGTGTTAACTTGGCAATCTTTGGAACATTGGTTTGGCCATCCTTGGAATGTTAGCTAGGCAATCTTTGGAACATTGGTTTGGCCATCCTTGGAATGTTGGCTAGGTGATCTTAGGTTCTTTGGCTTGACAATGCTGGGAGTGTTAACTTGGCAATCTTTGGAATAATGGCTTGGCAGTCCTTGGAATGTTAGCCTGGTTTTCCTTGAAATATTGGCCTAGCTAGGTACCCAGTCTGGGAAACATGATGTTATCCAAGGTTTTGATTTATGAAACCTGAAACTTTGCCCTCAGCAAGTTTATATACTAGGTTTAATTTGTATTATGTTAGTACGTGGATGGATATGTGTCATTAAGGAACAAGGGTGTGATCTCCCAAACGAGATGGCTAAATACCTGAAGAGTGAGGGATATTTTGTATTTTAGCATTATACTGTATCACTTTTTACATTCACTGTGTAAAAACACTGACGTGTGCAGCTGTTATTACCGGGGCTTTTTTTCCTGGGGAAAAATAAAGTGCCAGTACTCTCCACCAAATGTCTTTAAAAAAGGTGCCGGTACCCACCATTCTATTACAGCAGTGATGAAAAAAAAGGGTACTGGTACTACCAACCACAACTGGTGTCTGAAGGCAGAATTTTAAAATAGTTTTACAGCCATTTATGTCTGTGGTCATTGTTTTATTGCGATTATATGAAGGAAAACAAGTCAGTATTATATATGTAGAACACATGTACCCTGCTTAATTGCAATATAATATAAGACAATTTTAGCATATGTGACATTACACGTAGCATCTTCTATGGGTAACAGAAGGCCACTTCTTCCTCTCCTGCTATTGCCCTTCAAAATGCGGTTGGTGGGTTGTGTTGTGGTTGTCAGCTAGGCTGAGGTCAGAACAGACATGCTTCAGGCCGAGTGGCATGCTTTGCTGTCTAGGTCACGGGTGAGGAGTATTGTCTGGATCTTTTCTCCGGGGCACGCCGGTGGAATATTGATGCATAATAAGGCATACGGGGTTAGGGCCTTGTGGGAGAGCGTGTACAATTCGGAGGAGCAAATGGATTACCACAGTCTGGTGAGATTGTTACAGTGGGGAGTGGCGAAGGGTTCTGGCCAAAGCTCGACACTCAGAGGAAAGGCAAGACGGACGTATAATCAGAGTGCTGTGGAATCATTGGTATTAGAACTCTGTGCTAGCTGCTGAAGTTGTGGACAGAGCGCTTATGGAAATCCCCTAAGTGCTGTGATGTCGGGTCTTGAATAAACTCAACTGTTTCAGCCAGGCTGCAATAAATACACCTTTCGGCCCACCACATCCAACTTAAGCAGATTTTTTATTAGTTACTTTTTTAAGGCTTATGTGTGGGGGGGGGGGGGGGGGGTGTCTAATTAACATTTTTTATATTTTTATCTTAAATTGACCCAGAAACTTACACAGGGAAAATGCCCGATAAGACTAAACAAACTGCGTAACTCAAAGCTCTTTGTACATTAGTTTTACCATGTTTATTATCACAGCTCAAATAATGCAGTTCATACTTCCGACATACCTGGTGTGATCTAAGCTTTAGGCAGTTTGGCAGCAGAATGCTTTGCATTGATTTTTACAATGATATTGAGTCGACAATTGAGTATGT